CCTGGATAATTAATAAACAATAATAAACAAAACCAACAGGACAGGACAATGAAATTGAGTTATACTTTCGGGCATTACTGAGCCCATTGAGTAATCACGCATGAGTGTGAGCTTTGGGGGCATTTTTCGTAGTGTTGCTGTGAACATACAGATAAAACTATGTCATATAAGAAAATTCAGACATTTCTTAGCCCCACTAACACAAAAAAAAATCAGCAAAAACCCAAAAAAGATTTTTGGAATAAAGACGCGCTAGATCGGAAAAATCCCCACTGTGCATGGGTTCCTTGCCAACAGAAACCGTGGCAGAAGTGGGAGAAAACGCTCCGAGTGTTCGGCTGACGCGGCGAAGAGGGTGAAGGAGATCATCACCAGTGACCCAAGGAAGTCCAGTCGGAGGAAGGTGGCGCAGGAGGCCGGCCGCAGTCCGTTTACCGCCCACAGGACGCTGAGGGATGACATACACACACACACACACACACACACACACACACACACACACACACACACACACACACACACACACACATACACACAGAGTTTATTGGCATAGTACATGACTGGACAGGACATGACCTGGACTGACCCCCTACAGGATTGCGGTCCATCGGCAGCTCAGTGAACGGGACTGGCAGGCCAGAATGACTTTTCGCGCTTAGTTTTTTTTTTTTTTTAGACAATGCCTTGTTAGCCCCGACCATGTTATGCCCGCTCTCGCCGCGCTCGGCTGGCCGGACATTCGGGAAATGGTCGCTCGTCGTGACACGCTGAACGTATATCGCGCTCTCCACGTTGTTTCCGCGCCCGGCCCCCTGCGTGCGATGTTTCGCCCTCGTGCCGCCGTATCAGGGCGCGAGTCGCGCAGCGCTGCCGCGGGGGTGTCGGTACTGGAGCTGCCTCGCTACCGGCTCACCATGGCGAGGCGGCTCTTCCCATACAGGGACGCGGTATCGTGGAATGAACTTCCACGAAATGTGACCTCATGCGCGACTAGGCGCTCCTTGTGCGGCCATTTTAATGCCTGATTTGACATGTATTGGGTCTATTTCCTTTTAATGTGTTTCTACAATCTACAGTCATACATTGAATTTGTATTGACTGGGCCCTAAGAGCCACTTGTGGAACGACCTTCGAATATACCTTGAATACCTTGATTCTTGAATACCTTGAATACAATGCGACCAGAATCCGCCATTCATGGACCAAATCTGATTCAGTGATGAGGCCCATTTTTGCCTTCAAAGAGAACCAAAGCGTCAAAACAGTCGCGTTTGGTCCCAGTCGCAGCCTGGTGTCGTCCATCAAAGGGTCAGCCATGCAGCGAAGTGCACAGCCTGGTGTGCGATCAGCAGCGAGGGCATCATCGGACCGTTTTGGTTCGAGGACTCTGCTGGGAGAGCTCCGACAGTCAGCGCCGACCGATACAGCTCCGTGTTGAAAAAAGGTTCGATGCGGTGCTTCGGAAGAGACTGCAAGGAAAGACTGATGGAATCTGCTTCCAACAAGACACCTCACCGAGCGGGAGAGAACCGGACGTGGCTGCGCGAGCGTTTCGGTACCCGTTTGATCTCCGTCGGGGCTCCCACAGCGTGGCCCGCCAGCTCCCCTGTCTGACCCCACTGGACTATTTCCTTTGGGGTCGTATCAAGTCTCGTGTCTACCAATCGGCACCAAGGACCATCCCAGACCTGAAGTCGGAGGTACGACGACAGATCCGGCAGTCAAGGCTCTGTTCTGTCGCTCTGTTCTGGAGAACCTGAAGAAGAGAGCACCACTGTGCCTGGAGCGGAACGGCGGACATTTCGAACACGTGCTGTAGCTCGAGTCGGGTAGCACTTGTGTAAAACAAGGTCACTTGCAATAAAATAGCATCGATCCGGATGTAATTTGGTGTTTGGTCGAATCATCTACTGTGGTTACTTTTTATCTATGTAAAAAATAAAATAGGCAGTTTTTTTCCATGACACCCTGTAATCAGACCGGTACGACCCCAGCTGTATGTTTGTTGGTTTATGAGGGCTTTAGGGCGCGGCGACTAACTGCGGCGGTCTGTTTGTGCCCATAACGTTGTACTGGTAAAGCAACAGAGAACTGACGGACTAAAAAGGCTAGAGCTAGATGAGGTGCTTTATACGGGCATTACGAGTATACCACAGGAAAACTGATGGACTAAATGTAAGAGAAGATGCTGCCGGATGAAACCCAGGGTGAGTCGTCACCCAACAGGTGGCGGATGGTGGTGCTTGGGGCAATGCGGTCGAGGTAGCGTGTCCGATTTGGTTCGAGGTGCGAGCAACTTAAGAGAATGCGAGTGACTGTGAGCGGCACGGCACAATGCCTACATGTTGGTTGATCATCTCCACAGAGGAGATGACCATGCTTGCATACGTATGCCCTATGCGTAGTCTGCTAAGGACCACTTCCAAAGAACAGGTGTCTATTGCCTTGAAAGCAGGACTGCCAGTGCTCCACGGCAGGTTTCACCTTTCGCAGCTTCTCGGATCCATGGAGATGTCACTCAGACTCTGTCTGCCAGCTAGACATGACTGCCGTATGGCAAAACTGCCGAGAACCTAGCAGCAGTTCAGCGGTAATCGAAGAAAATCCTGGGGTCTGATCGACAAAAAGTTCCCTCATCTTCATCAATGTCGAATAAATGAATAACAGGCTGGTCCACGAGGGGATCCTGGACAGGCACACCAACCCGGGGGTCAAGACGACTTGCCCTAAGGGTCACTTCACATTTCAACAGCACAGAGCGCCCTTCAAAAACGTCGCTGTCGTCCAAGCCAAACTGACAGGAGCTCAGCGGGCCAGATCACCGTGGCGAAATGAGATGAGTCCACTTTATTCTCCTAATTTTACTAGCTTATTCTCTCCCGCTCAAGCATGCGACACGCTTTGCATAATAAGCTATAGGCCGCCTCTCATCCCAACCTGGACTCTTTGCCGCTGAAGACTCCCATCATGACAGCTATGGGAGGACCTGGAAATGTCCTACATCGTAAAAATCCGCAGGCACTTCCGCCCCGCGTCGAGTCCGTCGTCCGCGCAGACGGTGGTCGCAATGCATTAAGCGAAAGTATGTGGCTTGGTGCCTTTGGTCATCGTTTTGATCTATCGTTGACTATCTATGAACCAAAAGAACTTGTTAACCCGCGCATGACTGGAGTATTTTCCATAACACAAGTGACTGGGGGGGGGGGGGGGGGGGCTCTCCACAGCCCCACCTCCTATCTCCGAAACTACTGGGCCGATCGTCAAAATTCAAACGGCGTCTGATAGCCCTGGAAAAACTGTCAAGCGAAACCTATTTTCATTTATCTCGAGGTCACCGATGACGTCACAGGTCAGGTCAAATTAAAAATTATCGACATTTTTTCTAGTTCACAATTTAGGCTCTGACCGCCGGTCCGATCAGGCTCATTTTTGGTCTACGCACTGCTTGATAGATGCCTTAGATACCCTGAGGGTAACGAACTTTTACTTCGAATTTTTAAGGTCAAGGCCAGGTCACCCTAGGTCACGAAAATTGTATATCATGTATCGGTCACGTGACGCATGTTTTATGGTCCATCTTACTCGTAGATTTCGAAAATAGTGTCGTCTGTGTCATTTGAGGTCATTGTCAGCTGAATTTACCGGAGGTCAGGTCACTTTCAGGTCAGAAAAGGTCAAATTTAAAAACGAAATTTTTCAACAAAAAAGGTGCCTATCAGATGCAGTTTGAGCTCAGGAACACGATGGTGCCATTTATAATGCTGTACGACGTCAAAAACGTACTGAAAAATGGATTTGAAAAATATATAATTGTAAAATTTTGACAATAATGCGAGTACCTTGGCTATTTTTGAAGATATTGGACTAAAACATGCTAGTGTAGTTCATCAGAGTGTGTTCTATCACATATATTCCGGTATTTGCGAAAAGTCAAAAACTTTTTGAAAACATCAAAAATATATTTTTTTTGTAATTGTAAATATATATTTTCAAAATTTTCAAATTTTGATAATTCGAGATAGCAGTTTGATAGCTACGTGTCTTTTGTAGTCCACTCGTGCAAAGAAAACGGATCTAGATTCAAAACTGAGCTCTTGAGAGCGTTTGCCGTAATTCAATATCTTGCATCAAAATCGGCCGACATGACGTCACTTTGACGTCATTCCGGCCAAACTATGGTAGCTAGAAAGTTGAAATTTTAACACAAGGTGTCAAATTGATGCCGCTGAGGGTACCGCAAGTTTCGTGTTGATCCGTCAAACGGTAAGATATTGCTGAAAAACGGGAGGGGAGGCTCTGTTGAGCCCCCCCCCCCCCTCCCCCAGTCATGCGCGGGTTAAAAAAGTTAAAAAGCGCCAGGACTTTCCGGACACCCTATAGATCATCAGATAAAAGCTAACATCTAATGTTGTTAGAACCAGCGCCAAAGCTGTGTAAACCTGTGTAAATGAGAACCTTCTGTGCTGACTTTATTTGGAAAATACAACCAGTGCATAATGCACAGCAGCATAAGTACCAATGTAGACCATAAACCTTATCCAACCTCACAATCAGAGCATGGAAACACGTAAGCAGACATGTGCATGATCCGAGAAAATGGATCTGGGATCAGATCTCGCAGATCATGATCTCGGATTTGACAGGATCATAGTCCAGCTCTTTAATTTATCGAAAGATCCGTAGGGATCATAGATCCGATTATAATTTTTTGCTTGAGATCCAGTGAGATCATAGATCCATCACTCGGATCCATGCACATGTCTGCAGTTGCACGTAAGTATGTTTGTTATCACATGACGCACATTTTAAACGTGATACATAGGACAGAGACACGAGAAAGACAGAGAGAAGCGGGCTGCGATCAGCCTCGGAGCGGTGACTGCGGCTCGGATGACCTCACCCAGCGACGGTCACCTTCCCCTGCCCCTCCCCTCCCGGCGGCGGTCCTTCGCTCCCCCGGCTGGTCACCCCCCCCCCCCCCCGGGCGGCGGAACACTCACCCCCTCGTCGTCGGGCTCCTCCAGCGCGAAGACGGCCAGTCGGCTGGGGCTGCGCACCTTGTCCAGCAGCTCGCACATGAGCCGCTGCTGCAGGTGGCCGCCCGTCACGAACGGGTGCTGCCGCCGCACACAGCTCGGGGTCAGGGTCACAGCTCCGGCGGCCAGCTCAGCGCCACCAGGGTCGTCTCCGACTCTGGAGTGAATCTGAGCGGCGCTGTCACTCTGATCACAATGAGTCACACTGTGACTGATCACATGGTCACACTGTGACTGATCACATAGTGACATTGTGCTTCTGATCACATTGAGTCACACTGTGCCTCTGGTCACATTAAGTCACACGTAGAAAGGTAATAGGTTGATGAATCATAAACGCACATAAATTTTGAACGCCTAACTTCTATCAAACGTACCAACGTTGTAACAGTTTTGAAACCACTGGCTAAAAATGTGATAATCGTATCATCCCAGTCTTTAAAACATGATAATCGTATCATCCCACTCTTTAAATCAGGTTCTAATATTTGGGCATTGGTGTGATCAATGCTAGTGGCCAAAACATCATTTAAACATAACCCGGCAGTTGCTGGGGTATTTCGCCACCCACCGTTTGCTGGGGGGGGGGGCGTTAAACGCCCCCAGCCGATAACTCGAGAATCAATAGGCGCAGCGAAACGCACGAGGCGGCAAACGAAAGAACGCGACGAGACGCTTCCGATGAGTACTTTAAAGTTGAATTTTGAGGTCACAGGTCGGGTCAAGGTCAGGTCAAACACCTGAAATCGGGCTTCCAGTAACATGGACTTCAGGGCTTCGCAATGGGCGCCTCTCGTCATAAACGTTGTCAAAACGGTGCACAATCCATCATATAAGGCCTACAAGAGTGTCAGCTCCATGTAGGGGTCAGTCAAGCATAGGTCAGGGTCAAGGTCAGGTCAACCGGGTAGGCACATATCCCCGAAAATCAAAACTGATATTCGCAGCCTGTGACACATGTTTTATGGGTAATTTGGGGCGTAGAACACGATGGTGACATTCATTTTATCAAATGTGTACGTGTTTGGCTCAAAAAGTTCAATTTAAGAAATGCATGTATCATGGTCGTGAAGTAGTCACGAGAAATTGCCAAGATTCAGTTCAAGATTTTGGAAAATGCGGAACGATAATCAATAATCGAAGATAGCCATTTGATTGTTCATGGTATTGGCAGTCTAATGGCGTTTACGGCATGACTGTATGTCTATTCTGTGATTTTATATGATTTTTTGAACATATGCCGTTTTTGGTCGAAAACTCAGAAATCATGACGTCACTAAAACTTCGATATCTCAAAAAATTTCCGACCGATTTTTTTGAAACTTTGTCACAATAAACTTCAATCAATTCCCTACAGGTATTAAAAATTTGGCGCGCCTGCGACGCGCCGTTTTTATGCTATGGCCCGGCGAAAAAAGTGGGGGCGTTTAACGTCCCCCCCCAGCAACTCGCGGGATAATGTATATTGTATATGATAATTAGGTATTCTACAGTGTGTCCGAAAATTATTTGCCCCTTGTTTATTCATCTTAAATAGCTGTTTATTCCCCTTGTTTTTTTCGGCTATAATAGGTACCACCGTGCGCTTAAAGAACTATTGGAAATCTGCCTAGACCGTGCCTCAGGCCATCCACAGCTGTCCGTTAGTCACAGACCTAGCCCGGTCACCTGACCCTGACACTTGCGAGGCGCCAGGGGCCAGTGTTTGGCAGGCGTAACTCGCACCTGAACGTGGTGTCTACTATGGCGAAAGAACACTCTTTGACAAAGCGTCACTGCGCTGAAGTTATGGTGAAGGCTAGGATGAAGCAGGAAGTCGAATCGAATACTCAGTCCCAAGCCCAATCAAAAACCTTTGGGGAAACATGAAAGACGAGCTCAGCAAGATGGAACCAGCAACCACAGATAACGAACTTCAGAGGAACCTGTGAAAGGCTGAACATCAACGCGGACATCTTGATCTATGGGATGTCAGAGCGGATGAGGGATTGGGTAGGGGAGAGTGGGGTAAAGCGGACTAGCTAAGAAACAGCGTCAGATAGCAGGCTAAGTGGTAGTGAAAATCAGAGGCGGATCCAGCTCAGAGTTTGGGGGGGGGGCAAACCATAACAATTTATCGATTCTTTCCATGCCTCGTCCATAGGCGTAATGTTAAAATTATGCCATTTGGGAGGGGCAAATGCCCATTTTGCCCCCCCCCCTGGATCCGCCACTGGTGAAAATGTTAGTTTAAACCAGCCTACGTGTAAGCTTAATCCATCAGCCCAAACTTCCATGTAGGCGAGTTTTGTTTAGCTACTTTGGAAAGTGGTTTAATTCTTCGTGGAACATTACCACTACACATTTTGAATTCGAAAAACTAGTGGGGCAAAGTGGACCACCGAAATTCTTCTTTCTTCTTCAAGAGCCACTTACTTCCAAGAGCATTTTTAACGTCTCTAATTCATCTGCTAGCTACAACGAATTCAATTTTAGCCTATCGCATTTTTCTGAATTTGCCGATAAAGGGGCGAGTGTGTTTATTAATGGTCCACTTTACCCCACTCCCAAATTCTGCATTTGAGTAGGCATTGCCGACAACACAGTGTGCTGAGCCATTTCGGGTTCGTGCCAAACCGAAAATGCGTACCATTGTGCCTCTGTGACGGTAGTGCGGATGCTGACTTAGGTTGATATCTCAAGTCTAAACTTAATTTTGGTATATATTCCATGCTAAAATTAGAGGGGGAATTGAAAAAAAAAACACATTTCTGGCCCTGGGTTGAAAACGAATTATTCCTAGAGACGAGCCACTGTGACAAGAAATGTGCCAACATAAGGCATTGTTAATGGCTATCTTTGTTTTTGAAGGGGGCCATTTATTGGGGCTTCAGAGGGGGTGGTTCGCTTTGCCCCAGTGGTTCGCTTTACTCCACTCTCCCCTATGACGGGGTGGCGGATAGTAAAATCGCGAAATAAACCACGACCCGGGGGCTCTTTTTTATTAATTAGGCGGCGATCTGATGGAGGGGCAAATAATTTCCGGAGATCCTGCATAAGGTCATCCGAAAGCCAATACCTGCCCCACTCCGATAAAGGGACCCTCCCAGTTCCTTACTTCAAAAAAAATAATAATAAATTGGCAAACAAGTGATGCATCGTGGTTCAGAAAGAGCAAAAATATCTACCAAATTTCAACAAAAAAATATTCACTGTTTCTTTTTAGATGTTATACTTTTATTTGTGCTTATTTCTGGGGGCCTCCGCTGTTTCTATGACGTCATTTGAAAGCAATTATAATTTGGTATCTTAAAAGTGCGACGGATGTTGCGCGCAAGGCAGTATATATCACCACAGCAACAACTGTCTTTTTCCATGATTCTTCTAAGGGTTGAGTAAAAGATTCAAAAATCGCTACATCCGCGCTGATGTCACACAGTCTAAGGGGGCATTCAAATTTCAAATGTATTGGCCCCTTTGAATCCAAAAACTGCAGAATTAAAAATTAAATATCTCCAAATTGAGGCAATTCCCGATGTTGTGAGTACCCAAACCAGTAATTGAAAGCCAGGGACCCCATTTGGCTTTCTCAACCAGCATCTACTGTTGACAGCACACGTTGGCGCATGTTCCGCCCCAGAGCAGAGGCCGGGCTGCGCGGCGGCGGCGAGCACCCACCTCCAGCAGCCGTTCGGCCGTCGGCCGCTTCTTGGGGTTCTTAGTGAGCGCCACCTTCACAAAGGAGTGCATGGCGGACGACCAGCGCGAGCGCTCGCGCAGCTGTGGCGGCTTGAAGCCCGACTTGGACATGAGGAAGAGGGCGCGCATGGGGTGCAGGTCGAACATGGGCGGCTGCAGCTCGGCCAGCTCGATGGCCGTGATACCCACCGCCCAGACGTCGCACTGCTGGTTGTAGCCGCCCTTCCGCTCCACGGCTGCCACCTGACAGCGGCCGAGGGTCGCAGCGGGGGGGGGGGGTGTGGATTGACGGGATCTGTCCACAATCACGGCGCGCGTAGAGACCCGCAGAAGCCGCAGTGGACAAATGCCGCCAGACGCCAGACAAGCTGGTGGCTGCTACAACCGGGGTGGCATACCATTCCTAAACGCAACAACATACTCTGAATATATCTTATTATATTAATCGTCAGTAAATAAAAAACGACAAGAAAAAATATATGTGCCAAATGCACCATCATAAAAATTATGCAAAACTTATATGTACTCCTGATAGAGCTGAAAGACATTCTCTCTTTAGTCACGACAGCTTCGCATCGCTGGATGGGAGCTCGACAGCTGCATCCGTGTGCCTACCCCGCGATGTCCGCGTACATACCCCATCCCGTGTCGGCGCGCCTACCTCGGGCGCCATCCAGTACGGCGTGCCGATGAAGGACTGCCGCTTGCCCAGCGTGGCGGTGATCTGCGCCGAGACACCGAAGTCGGCCAGCTTAACGTCCCCGGCCTCCGTCAGCAGGATGTTGGCGCCCTGCCGGTCAGACGCGTCAGTATCTGTCCCACCAGACGTCAGTAGCTGTCCCACCGGCCGCGTCAGTAGCTGTCCCACCAGACGTCAGTAGCTGTCCACCAGACGTCAGTAGCTGTCCACCAAACGTCAGTAGCTGTCCCACCGGCCGAGTCAGTAGCTGTCCCACCAGACGTCAGTAGCTGTCCCACCAGACGTCAGTAGCTGTCCACCAGACGTCAGTAGCTGTCCCACCAGACGTCAGTAGCTGTCCCACCAGACGTCAGTAGCTGTCCCAACGGCCGCGTCAGTAGCTGTCCCACCAGACGTCAGTAGCTGTCCACCATACGTCAGTAGCTGTCCCACCAGACGTTAGTAGCTGTCCCACCAGACGTCAGTAGCTGTCCACCAGACGTCAGTAGCTATCCCACCGGCCGAGTCACTCGTCAGTAGCTGTACCATCAGACGTCAGTAGCTGTCCCACCAGACACACAGACGTCAGAAGTTCTACGGTCAAAACGTCGACATCAGAGGTTATACGAGCAGTTCCGTAATATGCGACAAACAAATTTACACAGTTACGCGACAAACAGCCAGTAGAGGTAGTTTACACAGTTACGCGACAAACAGCCAGTAGAGGTAGAACTGGCCGCATCAGCGGTGCACAGCCCGCAGATCAGCGACATCTAGTAGGTACAGACAGTGACAGCACCAGATAAGACTGCCGGCCATTTTAGTCACCATAACCACACATCTTTATATCATCCACAAAAATGAATTATATACAAGCCAGCGGACGGGGCGCCTACCTTGATGTCTCTGTGCATCTTGCTCAGGCTGTGCAGGTAGGACAGGCCGTGCAGGGTCTGCTTGCAGACGTAGGCTATCTGATGCTCGCTCAGCGGGCCCGTCACTGTGGGCAGAGGTGGGCGGGTCAGGCGCGCCCCGGTGACCAGGGAAGCCCGCACCTCACGTGGATCAGACGCGCCGGCTGTGAGTGTGCACTGTGTGCACCACGTGACCACGCCTCCCAGGCGAGATTCGCCGCTAGGCCAGAGGCTGCTTTAGCTCAGCCGTTTCCGGGCAAGTTCTGAGAAATGGTGCCGCCACACTAGGGCCCCCTGCGGGCGGCGCGGCGGCGCGGCGCACCGTGGTAGATGTCCTGCAGTGAGCCGCCGCCACAGAACTCCATGCAGATCCACAGCCGGTCCTTCCGCAGGTACGAGCCGAAGTAGGCCACGATGTTGGCGTGCCGGCAGTCCTTCATCATCACAATCTCCTGCTGGATGATACCAAAGTCGTCCGCTGCAGGCGGGCGGGAGCAGACGGGGCACAGGTGAGTCACAGGCGAGTCACAGACGTGTCACAGACGGGTAACGGACGGGTCACAGGCGGGTCACAGACGGGTAACGGACGGGTAACGGACGTGTCACAGGCGGGTCAAAGACGGGTAACGGACGTGTCACAAGCGAGTCACAGGCGCGTCTCAGACGGCACACGACAATCGCGCCCCGTGTGTGATGATCGCCAAGACAAATGGTAGTATTGTTTGCACAATGCGGCCAGCTTAGAACCTACTGAAACCTTCCCCGCGGCCCGTTGGAGGGGAGAGGGGTGGCAAAGGGTATCAGGACAGCATAAAAGCAGGGCTGCGGAGTCGGAGTCGGAGTTGGAGTCGGCCGGAGTCGACAGTTTCGCCCGGAGTCAGAGTCACCAAAATCTTACCGACTCCGACTTCGGAGTTGGATCTATCGCTGCATGGCTCAGCGTCATGCCTTGCACCTGTTTGCTCGGCAATCCTACGTTCGTTGAAATTTCAAAATCAGATTTTGTCGAAAAACTCATATTCCTGTTTTGAACGATTGTTTTTAGCGAAAGAAGCAGACGACGGCGAATTCGCCAAAACCTGTTTTTAATTCTGCATACTATCTTTTAATGCATTTTGAAGCAATGCAGGGCCTTGGGGCACACACAAAAGCTCGTTTCAGGCAAAATAAAAGCATCTGCACAAAGAACTTTATTATCATATGAATTTTAACCCTCGCCAGGCGAGCGGGGTTGATGCAACCCCCTCCCCCTAAGGTTTTTCGCGAATAACAAGCCGCCAAATTTGGTATGCCCTCTGGGGCAGCCTTTTGACACCTTTCCTGAAAATTTCAGGTCTCAGTCACTTTAGGTCAGGTCACCAGGTCAAAAAAAAACGGTACAAGGTCAGGATAAAATTGATAAGATTAGCGGTAAAAACTACAGAATTTTTCGCTTGTAGCGTGAATGCCGCGGTACGTAGCGCCACCAAATTTTAGAAACAGCTTGGGGCAATCATCTGACGTGTCCTGGAAGTTTTGGGTTTCAGTGACCAGTCAGGTCACAAGGTCACAAAAACCGGTACGTGGTCAAAATGACACTAAAATAACCTTTTTTTAATGAAATCTAGATTGTTCATCGATTTGATTCAAACTTGCAGGCAGGGCTGCGGACTCGATGGATTTTAGGGTGACTCCGACCCCGACTCCGACTTAAAAATCGACTCCGACTCCGACTCCGGACGGTTCTATTAAAATATATATTACGATATTGAAGTTCATAATGGAGATGTTTTTATCTTGCCTGAAACTCTTGTGCGTTCCAAGGCATTGCGTTGCAAATATGCATACAAAATAACATGCAGAATTAAAAAGCAGGTTTTGGGGATTTCACAGTTTTCTGCTTCTTTAGCTACGAGCTTTTCTTTAGCTTTTCTTTAGCTCGTAAACACGTTCGTCCAAAACAGCAAAATATACTTTTTTCGGCAAAATCCAATTTCGAGCACAATGCAATCGAACAGGTGCAGTACACTACTTTGAGCCATACAGCGTTACCTCCTCCGACTCCGGAGTCGGGGCCGGTAAGATTTTGGCGACTCCGACTCCGACTCCGGGCAGAATTGTCGACTCCGACCGACTCCAACTCCGACTCCGACTCCGCAGCCCTGCTTGCAGGACATGAAAAGCTCACCGAGTGCCATCATATGCATTCCGGTTTTTCGAATTCGGGTGACCTGAGGTCATCTACATAGAGGTCACGACAAATTCTAAGGAAATTTGCCCGGATGACTTCAATAGTAAAAATATGAGAGATGTGTGCTCCATTCCAACGTTTTGTGTTGTACTACCTTAGTTTACATCTAACTGGTGTTTGCATGCTGCAATACCGCTATGGTCGGGTCAAATGAGGTCAACTGAGGTCAAAATACGCTTTTGCTAATAACTTGACACACAATGAGGCTAAAGCTTCAAAAATGGTGTCATTGTGTTCCATGTGGTCAGCCGAGTAGAATGGCGTGCGGTATGATGCACTTTGATTAACTTGAACTTAATTCAATATTTCTTGAAGTTCACTTAATGTTTAAAAAAAAATTTAAGTTCAATTTAACTAGTAAGAAAGTAAACCATTCGGTGCACACGGACATGCTGAGTTCACTGGTGCTTTATTTTTGCTCAATCTTAACCCGCGCCCGGGTGGACCTCTCAGCCAACTTCGCCATGGTGGGCCAAAAAGCCCCTTTTTGGCTGTCCTGCCCGCCCCTAACCCAACCCGGCTAACCGGAGGCCGACACCATAAAGGGTCGGCCGGCCGGCCGGGCGCGCGGCTCGCCAACCTATCGGGCGGCCTGGGGCATCGCCCCAGCGAGAACGGGAATATGTGTAATTTCGCGGGGCGATGCGGGGCGGGGCAGGAAAAAATGTGTGTGAAATGGAAGTATGCAATGTATTACCTAATGTGTAATGTAAGGTGTGCTAAGTGTAAAACCAAAGTGTGCACATGAAAATGTTATATTGTATTGAAAAAAAGCCCCTTTTTGGCCACACCAGATTATCTCGGAAAGTAACCAAGCTAGAAAGACGCGGTAAAAAGCAATAGATAGATCGCTACAAGAACTTTCAGAATCATCTGGGTCATTTTTCATCAGGTCTTCGCTGAGGTCACTGAATGTCACCAAAGATAAATTGTTCATGATTTTTGTACCCGATTTTGACAGCTTTTTACAAATTGGCGCATAAGTCGGGAACCAATAGAGCTAGAGCACTGCAGAAAAGCGCATTCGATAGGCTCTTTCAAAAGCCTTTCTGAAAAATGTTCTCATATTTGACCTAAGGTCAACGGGTTAGCCTCCAGAGGGCAAAAACTATCAAAATTGGACGTTTTTGCGGAAAAGGTTTTCGCATCATAGCTTTGGACTCCAAAATTATATCACGCTGATTTTACCGGCATCGCGTTTGTCTCGTCGACACGCGTCGAATGAACTATAGGATGACCTGAAAAGGTCAACTTGAAAATTTGACCTCAGGTCAAGGTCACGGAAAAGGTCAAGTTGCATGTCATTCGATTCGTATTGCTGAACTGAACACATTCATGGTGTTTTCATCGCTCTAGCATGTTTCTATCTAAAGTTATTGTAAAAAAGCTATGACCCGAGATGACCTCAGAGGCATAAAAGGGGTCACCGGTGCAATGTTCCGGTACAGTGTGTCATATTTACCTATTTCACGATGTTTGAGGGTGTTTTCGGCCAAACAAAGACCATTTCAAGTTTCTCCCATTGACTTATAATGGAGAGTTCGCAAAATTGACCTGACCTTAGGTCGCCGATATTAAAATTCCGAGATAAACAAATTGTTCATACCTACTGATTTCCTTGTGTAAAACCCGAGTTTCAAACTTCTTGGATATAAACTGAAGGAATGACAGAATCACAAAGTCTTTTAGAGGTATGGTTATTTAACTTGACCTGGTGACCTGACCTTACGTGACCTGGGGTCACAACTTCCACACATGATGCAAAATTGATGTATGATAAGCTATACAAAGTTTCGCGGCGCGGTTTTCTTTACACGCGCAAAAATTGGCAGTTGTGGCCAGCCCCCCCCCCCCCCCACTCGGGCGAAGGCTACATCAAAAGTTTTATGCCAAAAGCTTTTGACCGGTTTTAGCAAAATGTTTACATTTTTACTCACCAAAATATACCAATAAATAACACCCCCTAAATATTGACCTAGAGTCAATAGGTCAACAAATTTGCACAGTGAAGAGATTTTCTATGGGGCCACCTACCTGTTAATCTGGTGTTTCTTAACCTTCCAGGCGGTGCGGGGGGGGCATTTTTTTTGTTCCCCCCCCCCCCTTAGGTTTTACGATATATCTCCAGAACCGCTGCGCCGATCGTCACCAAACTTTCAGTACCCTCCCGTGAATAGCTTTTGTACATTGTGACCAAAATTTTCCAAAGGCTATGATAGGTTGGCTGCTAATGACGTCGAAGTGACGTCATTTCTGTCATTTTCGACCCAAAAAAAAGGTTTCGCGGGAAGATCTGTCACGCCTACAGCTTTAGAGATATAGAACAATATTTTAGACATAAAAAGTGTAGAATTAACAGGGCTACAAAACTGCTATCTCGAATTTTTGAAAGTTTTGGATTTTGACCCAAAAAAAATTAAAAAAAGATTTTTGAAAAATAATAAAACGGAACATATATGATATTCTTTACCGCATTCTATCCACATACCAAATTTGAGATCCATACCTCTTTTTTGGCCAAGGTATAGCGAAAAACTGTTCAAAATTCATGACGTCAAATTTTCAAACTCAATTTTTAGCAATTCTAGACCTCATAGCGCAAAGACCACCATTAGACTCCCCGTGACGAGCTGCATCGAATCAATACCCATTTTATGCAAAACTATCAACTTTGAAATGTGATCCTTTTTTACCTGACCTTGACCTGACCTCCAACAGAAAGTGACCTAAACCGTACCTGATGGTCTTATAACCATCACCATTGAGTTGGAAATGAAAAATGGGTCATAAAGCATGCACCACACAACCTTAGTAAAGTTGGGTTCATGTGCTGACCCTTGGTGACCTCACCTGTGACCTGACCTGGTAGTATCAGTGACCTCTAATAGCAACATATGTGCTAGGCAACTGACGCCCTATCGCTGATTTTCGACAAAATGCTTTTTACTCGATGTTATAGCGCATTCCCTAAGAAGACCCGTGAACGGTGAAACATTTTGTCTTTGACCTGACCTGTGACGTCATCGGTGACCCCGAGGTAAATGAAATTTGGTTTCCGTCGACAAATTTGATAGGGCTTTCGAACCCCGTTTGAATTTTGCGGATCCGTCCAGTAGTTTCGGAGAAACGGGGGGGGGGGGGCAAAAAATGCACTCCACCACTGCGCGGAAGGTGGCCGGGAGGCCCACCGCCTGCCGGGTTAAGTGTCACAGGAGCCAATGGCTAGAAGACTGGGGGTCGTACCAACC